TAAAAATAGTAAATCTTTATTTTTTAGATATTAACAGAGCAGGCTTGGGTACCTCCCCTCTTAGTTTGATTAGGTACATTAAAAATAACTGAAAACAAGGTATTTTCACAGGCACCCGGGCACACTGTCAATTCACAATAGAATGAAAGCACAACTTTGAAAAGATCTACTATATTCTCCTTGTAATAAGAATAATAATGGCAATAATAAAGAGACACACTAAGTCACATTGAAATCCAAAATGAATTAGAAAGCCAGCTTATCTGGATACTAAGGCAAGAAAAATGTCATGGTTTATATCATTATCTTAAATATGGTTTTTAAAAACTGCTTATCTACTCTAAAGATCAGGAATAATATTACATGCCAAACCTCAATAATATATTCCTATGTCTACATAATCTTGAAAAATAATCTATATCGGGCCATGTGTGTATGTGTGCAAAGGACACTGAGTTAGGCATACGTGAGCTTAAAACCTAATTTATTACTGGCTGCCTTGAGAGCATGTCATTTACCATCTCTGAATCTCAGTTTCCTCATCTATGAATTGAGCATGGTAACCCTTGCATCTCCTGGTTCTTGAGAGGAGTAAAAATGTATAATAAATATAAGTCGCAGAGCGCACCACTTGACATATTAAGCACTTGTATTTTGTCAGTGTCAGGCCCATCCATACCCTATTATCCTGTCTAATATCTTGCAAACAGTCACGGGGGAGCTAAGGTAAAGAGAAATGATCAATGATCCAAAATTCAGTTCTAAACCTTAAAAAGCATTCGAAGGGCACAAGCACATATGCAGAAGCAACATCAGCACACAGGGTATAATCCTATAGCTTATTATGCAACACAAATTAAGGAAAAACATAGTAGTGAAACCAATGTTAGTCCAATAAAGGACGTGCAGAGCCATAAAGAATTAGCAAATCAGAACTTGTTTTTTTAGAATAGCAAATAAAGGCAGAGGTTAGAACCTCCTTAACTTGGGCCTCAGTTTTCTTTGGCTGGACAATGAAGACAACGGACTGTATACTAAAAGAGGTTGCTATCCCCAAAAGTCTGTAATTCTAATATAATGGGTTTAATGCCCCTTTACTTACTTTTAAACCTATTTACTTAGTCTGCTGCTTACAAAAAAGCCATACCACACTTGTGAGTTGTACTACAATAGTAAGGCTGTTTGAAACGCACAAATGCACACACACACACACACACACACACACACACAAATACAGATACACACAATTAAATAATTCTACCCCACAGATGCCTTTAAGGGGAGAGCAATTATTTTTAACCATGAATGCAAACAGTTATGGATGGAAATTAATTCAGGATGCTGACCATTTGAATTTTCTCTGTGATACAAAAACTACCCACTGGATTCATTTTCTCACTGAACTTACTACATTGATGTGTCATTGGGTGTTACGTGGATATAGGTTAGCTAACCTGCATGAACATTAAAAAATGTTTGTCTTCTTCCAAAAATGACCATGACAGGGATGTAGTGTGTTTTACTTCTGCTCTTAATTGTTCAAACACCCATTCACTTGGCAATCTTTCACAAACACTGAACACCTAAGTAAAACTAAACAGTTACAGGGGGGAAAAGCTCAACTTTTAAACTAAGGGAAGAAGATGTAGTATCCATCATAGACTAACTGTAAATACACGTAACAGATGTGACCAGGGCTGTTCTTGAATATAGATCATTTTAGTGGCCCAACTTTAAAACTACTTTTTAAAAAGATGCCAAAACCAGTATGTTTATCTTTTGCTTTTAAAAGACTCAAAGGTAACCAAAGAAACTGTATTTTTTGTTAGAATAGAAAATTAAGCCCCGTTCATCGATAAATTATAGACTTTAGGTGCTTGTTTGCTTTTTCTTTTGGTAACTTGGCCATCTTACTTTTTAATGAGAATAATTTTCCAATCATCCAGGCATGTGTATCCTTTTAGCTTGTTTTAAGAGCAATGATATAACGGATATTAAATCCCTTTGTATAAGTTACCATATAGGTTACAACTATTTCTTAAAAATAATTCCAGAGCCCACCAATTCATCCTGTTAAGGTCATCGAAGCTCTGAACCATCATGGCTGAATTGTTTTAGTGCTCTCTGCTGAACACCTGCAAACATCAAACAAAAACTGCAGGTCCTTTCCTGGGTTGACAAAAGCCTTTCATGTGAAAAATGCTCCCTGGGAATGTCAGGCTGTAGCTCAGGTTACATTCCATTCTCCCTAGCAGCCTCACCATTTCTTAAGGTGGTAGGAAAACCCATGTTTGAGAAACGAAAAGATTAAAGGGAATATGACCACACTTTATTTTCATTCCCACATTGCAAATCACGATGGAGCATCCTATATTAATCGATTCAAAAGCTATTGGGAACTTTAAGTATGAAATATCACCATGCCTCACCTTGAAGAAATACAGCTGGTTTTGCAAAGATGAACAAACAGTTCACTTACTTACAGTTCGGATCTTTGTTTCTTAGACCCAAGTTTCAAAGCTACCCATGAAAGTCACACCTGAGCCCACTCAAGACGAGTATTAACCTGAAGTAAATTTAGAAAATTATTTCTCTGTCCAAAGTTTCCTAGCTCATCCTTCAGTTACAAGGCAAAATGCAGTTTTCCTGATTTTTCTACCTGATGTTCTTTAAAAGGGATTCATCTTTGTTGTGGAAATATAATGGAATGGAAATATAAGCCATTTTTTTCACTAATAGCCCTGTGTTCAAATATGTCTTGAATAGATGAGAAAAACCAACACTACAATCTGTACTCCATATATTATAATCACCATCACACTGCATTGGATGAGTACCCTGCATTTTCAATTCAGCTGCCACCACAAAATAGCCACTACACTTTTTTACCTTTACAAGCAAACATTTGGGTCTGAAAACTACAACTGTGGTACAACGTAACTCAAAGTTCAACACCTTAAAAATAATCACAGTATATTCATTAGAAATATCGTACGTGACATGTCACTAAGGATGACGTCTCTGTCTGGGTTTGTGTGTGTGTGTGTGTGTGTGTGTGTTTGGTGTGTGTGCACATGTGCGCACGTGTGTGTGTATATATATTTGTCTTAAGAACTGTGTAAGTTCAATACATAATCACTTACTAAAATGCATGAATACATATTCATACTTATCCAGCCTGTACTCTCTGTAAACACTTAAACATCATAGCAAGGACTTTATTTAAATGTGAACACAGAAAAGGGCCCAGATGCACAGTTGTCTTTTTAAATGTAACACAATTTCATGCTTCTAAATCACTTTGCTTTATTAAACCATACCTAAACTGATACACTTAAGTTATTCCAAATGTGTCAGTTTTCACAGAGTGCAAGAGAGTGTTTTGCACTTTGAAAGCAGTCTATCTCTGGGCCTTTGTGACATAATCTACTTTTAGATTTAAGCTGAATACACGTTTTCTTAAGTAAAACCATGAAGAAAATTGCTGTCAGAGATAAAGTCTGTTACTGTTTTGATACTAGCATGAAATAGTAATCTGCCTACAAGAGATTCTTGCACTGATCTTTACTTCAAAGTTGTGTAGAGAACACAACACCAAAATTTGGAAGACAAAATACCAATACAACAACAACAACAACAAAAATATTAAGTCTGTAAATGGAAAATATAACAGGGTCCAGGCCACTAAAATACAAATATATTGTCAGAAGTACTTTTAATCAAGGTGGACCCCAAAACTGAAAAGATAAAATATAACCATAGGAAGCATCTTATAAATTATAAACATATTACTTAGCCTAGTGGGGGCCAGAAAAAGGAGAAGTAACTTATTTGGAAATGAGCAACTTGTAAAAGCCACTAATTTTATAAAAGCATCCTAATTACACAAATCGCAAAGGTGAACAGATTGCTTTCATTGCCAGAGCATCAGATGAAAATTAAGAGATGTGAAATGATATTCAATAGTTAACAGAAAATTCCACTGGCACCTCGCAGCTAAAAGATGTCCACATTTACCAGCCTGACTCAAGAATGGTACTCTGTCTAATGTACTGGTATTTACCACTGCCAGAACTCCTAAAATACTACAGCTGTTTAAAAAGTATAAGTGGATTTAAGCTTTAAGCCCAAAGGATAGCAGGTAACCATGGATGCCTCCTTCCTATGTGAAATTCATTGGACAAAAAAATATATACATATTTTAAGTAGTATCATATTTTCAGTTTTCACTTTATAAGAGACCTTCAGGGAGTCCCCTACTAAAACTCCTCCTTAGAAGCCAGATAATCATTGCGCACACAGATTCCTTTGTGAATAGCGCTAACGTCTTTTTTAAGCATCACCCAAAGACCTTTCATTTATAAAATGTAAAAGTCCTTGCAAATTTGAAACTTTAAATATAGCAAAAATTCACTGCATGAGGAAATGCTTAGAGGACAAAAAATAGTAAAGCATCAAAAAGAATGCTTTAAAGAGAAATGAATTCATATTTAGCTCTCAGATTAGCAAAAGGCTCTCTATTTACAGCTATGGTTTACAATGCAGCATTCATCTGCAAAGTAAGTGCTCACTTCTTTAAAAGGGTTAATTATACATAGTACCTAATAATTAATATTATTTACGAGGGATTTTCCCTTTTTTTTGAAAGTTAGATTTTTTCCCTCTATTTTCAAACAGGGAAATAAATTAATTTTCCCCGTGTCAACACTGGCCTTATCTTCACATGTTTGATTACAACTGTATTAGAAAATTGCTTTTAAATTAAGTAATGGAATTCTGAGACAATTTCCTTGATTTAAAAAAAAAAGGCCTAATTTTAATTCTGCAAAAGATAACATTTTGTGTAAGTTATACCACTGATGGACAGTGAAATAACCGTATCATTACAGGCTACAATTTCAATGACTTTTCCAGAACACTTCAACAGAGCCAAAAATATACAATGAGTGAATAAACAGCTAAGAACATTTAACTACATGCTAAGAAAAGAATTTACATACTTGAGCCAGTAAAATGTCCACTCGCCAAAGAAGTTGGTCCATTTTTCCCACTGCTCACAGGAGGTGAAAACATCTAAAAGAAACAAAGAAATATTACTGTTGAAAAAAAGACATCTGTGCCTTCAGAGTTCGTCAAAGATCTTTCAGACTCTTACCAAATAGCTTAAGAGTTTACGTTAAGGGTTCATTTTAGTAAAATACATCACCATCCAACTTAAAACTAAAACAAGCATAACATTACCAGTCACCCCCCCCCCCCTTTTACCACTCTGTTCTTAATTTTTCCTCAGGTTCATTAGACTGCCAGCACTAGGCAGCACTGGTCCACTTTAAACAAACAGTCCCCATAATGTTATCAAGATTCAGGGTGGAGGGCAGCGGCCTCTCCAGAAAACACTAGTTTTACAAAGGAGAAGAAAAAAGTTGTTTGCTTTATGCTGAAAACCTTGGCCATAAACGTGGCAATGTCCATTTCCATCCCGTATAGGATTTGCCTGTCATATGTGAACCCAAATAAATATAAAAGTGCCACCTGCACTAAATTCTCATTTCGTCTCTAACATGAGAGCAATTTGTAGCAAGACTCTCTCTCTCTCTCACTCTTTCTCACTCTCTCTCTCTCTCTCCCTCTCTCACTCTCTCTCTCTCTCTCTCTCTCTCTCTCTCCAGCATTTATTTCGACCCTAATTGGCTTCCCTCTTCTTCGACGTATCTAGTGGATAATGCGCACCTTCCCTGAGTCAGAGCCTGCAAAAAGCAAAGGAACGAATGGAGAAAGTGCAGCAAGCAGAAAGGGGGCTACAAAGCTGCCTAGGGCTACGTTTCCTGGCAAAACTTCCGAAAGCCATTTCTCCAGAAGAAGGTCCAGAAGAAGCAGCAGCAGCAGCAGCAGCAGCAACAGCAGCAGCAGCAGCAGCAGCAGCAGCAGCAGCAGCAGCAGCAGCAGCGGAGGCGGCGGCGGCGGCGGCGGCGGCGGCGGCGGCGGCAGCGGCAGCAGCAACATGAAAGAGCCCCACTTAGAAGGCGGTTTGGATTTTATTTGCGTGTTTTGTGGATTCTTTTTATTTTGCTTTGCAAATGCATCTTACACCAAACTCTCTCGGCATTAAAAATGAGTGAATTCCCCTGCCGGGTCTGGGACGTGATTTGGGAAAGGGAAGCAAAGGGATGCAGGACCAACTACAGCCGTAAAACTCCACAAGTGTGCAAGTTTTGCTTTGTGCTGATCTCACGACTGTGAAATGCACCAACCCGGTCTAAAGGGTTCTAAAGAGTGTGTGCCCAGCACATATGCACGAGTTTTCAGAATCCTAGAAAGAGATGTAACCAATACGTATCCAAAGCATCATCAATTTAAAACTTTAAGAGACAACTGGGTCTCCTAGTTGCTCCTTTCCATTTCCAGAAAAACAAAAATAAAAGGAATACTGCGCAAAGTATTAGTACTCTCATGTCCAGGTAAGGCCAAGTTTTAGGGTGGTCTGTTTGTCCTTTCATTTGGGGGGAGGTTCCATTATTTTGAGGGTCCGGTGGGTAGGGAATTCAAGGCAAGTAATTTTACACTCTGGGAAAAAAAAAAAAAAAA